GGAAAATGGTCTTATAGCAAATAGTGGGATCTTTACAGAAATGTTTATTAATGTGGATTGTCCCTATTTAAATAAATTAATAAATATGATTGATTACCACACATCAACATGAGGTTGCTGTCTTAACGCAGCATAAAAGAAACTCAGAACTCAATATAATAAAACCAACTCATTATCTGAGTGTAACTAGTCAAATGTATTGAGCCGTGGACAGAAACAGTATCAGACAGTAAATATGTGAGATATGGTAACACTTGAAAATAGCTCATCAGTGGTTGATGAATGTGGGCAGTACTACACCCGCCCCTGTCTCAAATACACGTAAGGCCCAGAGAAGACCAAACCAAAACAGCAACAATAAAAGATATATTTGTATTATCATATTTTCTATATTTTATTTTTACATGTACATACACATTTATATACTTTTGCCTTATTTGACACCTGTTTTTGCTACTTATTTTGAATTTATCATTACCATCATTTATGTTTTTGCTACTGTGTCCAAATATTTCCTTTGTGAATCAATAAAGTTCATCGAAGTCTAAGGCTACGAAACAGTTACTTATCAACCAACTCCTCATTATTGCTGTAGTAGTGTGCAGCTATTTCAAAGTGTTACCAAACATAAAACCATTCCAAAGTTCCTCAACAAGATCATATCAAAGTTTTGACTCGGTGAGAATCGCAAAAGTCTTTAGACAGTTTGTTTTTGCATAATGGCAGTGTCTGTGTAATAACCCAGTCGTCCAGATATGATCCAAAACAAAAGAAAAAAATCAGTTCTGTATCTGCCTGAGGTGAGGAGCTAACTACATCGAAACTACTCTGGAACTAACACACCTACTTGTTTACAGTTTTTGTTTAGAGACCTGATTGATTATGCAAATTTGACTCAGTGCAGTTCAATAGACCGAGCTAACAAACTGAAACTGTAAACAAGTAGATGTGTTAGTTTCAGAGTAGTTTCATTGTAGTTAGCTCCTCTTTTGTCCTTTTCTTTTGTCCAGTTGGCAAACTCACTTAATCACCTGGCTTCGAGGAACACATTTCATTCTGTCATGTGTTTCTCTCGCTTGAATGACAAATAAAGAACCTTGAACCTTGAACCTTGGAACTGAATTTTGCTTTTCCTACGATGGCAGAGTGGTTATCCTTTGTGGTTCACGCTGCATCTCCTTCCAGCCTGGTCCTCAACACTTCTGATTGTCTTAAAAATGTAATGACATAAATCCAATGGAGGGTTCTTTGTCCACAGTGTAAAACTTTGTACAGCTCAACAGAAAATCCTCGGTTTGATTTTGCCGTCGATAAACATCCAGGAAAAAATCATTAAGATCAAGGACAGAAACTGGGTCCTTACAAAAATGTCCTCCTTTGTTCTTCCTCGGACTTCCATCACTTAAAGGGCCCATGTTATGCCATTTTATGATCTGTGTTATAATGTTGTTTCCTCATCAAAAACATAAACAGACCAGGAGTTGTGTTTTCTTTCATTCACACATTTAACACACAAACTCTGGTACAGTGTTTTTAAACTCCATACACTTTCACTAGACTCATGTGGATGATTTCAGCCAGTCTCTACTAAACTAAAGGTAGAAAGAAGCTATTAACTTGAAAACTACCGCTTCATGACGTTACAAAGTGGAACAGAGCATTTTGAGATTTGGAGAGTTGTTTTTGAGGAAGTAACAACATTATAGCATGATGTCTTAAAGGGACAGTCCGGAATTTTTGACATTTCCTAGTGAGCCAGAGTGTTGGAGACGTGTGGAGACACTTTTTAAAATATTCAGTCCTTGTATTTGCAGAGGTCGCTGGTGCTAGACTAGTGCATGTCAATGGTCATAGTTATCCTGCCACTAAAAACAGTCTTACCCACTCCACAAAACACCCGAAGAAAATCTATTATTACACCAGACTGTCCATGTAAATGTCTGTGTTGATAGAATAATTTCAGAAGTAAAACCAACCTTGCATTTGAAGGATTTATGTCTGAGCAGCAGCAGCGAGTTGTACTTCCTGATCAAGCCCTGGGGTTTCAAAAATAGCGGCCATTTCAAGTCAATGGGCCGAGCTCAATGGCGCATGACTTCGCCTTTAGCCTGGCGAGGTACTTCTGGTGGCTCTGGGCCGATTGGCGTGTGCCTTTCTCCTGCGGGCACACGCCAATGCACACGAGCACACGCACTGAGCATGGTCTCGTGTATCACATGATCGCTTTGACCAATCAGAGCGAGAGGAGCAGAGCGGAGCTAGAGCTAACGATTATAAAGTGTTTTTTTACAACAACTGAAGGATTTTGAGCTGAGAAAAAGTTTATGATCTAACAATAGGTAAAAATCGCCACAAAATGACATTTTTGAAAGTTGTAGGTCCCTGTCAGCCGAACACAAACAGTTTTTGATTACATAGCGCTCTATGAGAAAAATTCTCTCTCATCCCAGAGGATTTTTTCCGCTGTAGTACCAGTGAGTGTCACTACGTCAACTAGGGGCAGCTACAAAAAGCAACACCCTATCCCATTATTTTAATAGATCCATGATCCTGATAAAAAGCTTGGCAGCGGCGGACTGATATCACCTAGCACCTATCTTACCAACAAAGTAAAATTCCGCTGCTTTTGAGAACATAGTCCCTCAACATGCGACGATTCATGCGATGCAAGGTTAGTTTTATTTCAAACATTATTCTATCAACACATTTACATGGGCAGTCTGGCGTAATAATAGATTTTCTTTGGGTGTTTTGTGGAGTGGGTAAGACTGTTTTTAGTGGCAGGATAACTATGGTCATTGACATGCACTAGCCTAGCACCAGCGACCGCTGCAAATACAAGGACTGGACGGAATATTTTAAAAAATGTGTCCACACATCTCCAACACTCTGGATCACTAGGAAATGAGGTCCTATGTCCAAAATTCCAGACTGTCCCTTTAAATCTCACAATATAGGACCATTCCCGTCACACTGAAAACAGAATAAATATACTTTCTTATTAAGAATGTGGTGAAACACAGCCATTTACTTTCAAATAACGAGTATGTACATTTTTAAACCAATATATAGCAGACATAAAAATTTGATCTTTGCTTGTATTGGGGTTTTACTACAAAGTTTGATGAAACATTGTTAACATATCGTTAGGGGTGGGAGATATTGACAAAAATGTAATATATGTAATAAAATGTGCCTTGGTTGAGGTTTATGTATTGCTCTTAATGTGAACAGAGCATAAGAAATGGTAAATGGTCACATTTTTATACAGCGCTTTTCCACGTTTAAGGTTCTTAAAGCGCTTCACAACAAGGAACCACTCACCCATTCACACACATATTCATACACCAGTGTACACAGACACGGCGGGGGGGTTAAGTGTCTTGCCCAAGGACACAACAACAGCATTCATCTGTGGGAGCTGAATTCACACCGCCAACCTTCAGATCAGTGGACAAACGCTCTACCAACTGACCTACTATCGCACTATGTCACATTATATCCTTGTTTGGGAGATTACACCTAGACATTTCTGTTTTGAGGTTTTTTCAGTTGATACTTTGCAGCTGATGTCATGAGGATTGCCTGAGAGTGTGACACTAACTGTAGGCACTGCTCTGTCTGATGCTTTATTACCCAAGTCAGACTTTAATCTGTGCATTATTTTAACACAATTGGACCAGAAAGACCTGACCTAGCTGGAACTACTACAGGTCAGACTGTTTGCACTGTTAAACAAGTCTCTCACTGGTGTTGTAGTCAAGAGCGCTCTAATCAAGACCAAGACCAGTCCAAGACCAGGACAAGACCAAGACATCTGAGGGCCATGACCGAGACAAGACTGAGACCATGGCCCATCGAGACCAACTCAAGACCGTCTTTGTCATTTCCTACATTTATTTGTATTTTACAGTTATTTTGGCAGATATATATCTATGTTTTTATAAATTTCTCCATCTGATTTAGTTAATGTTCATTTAAGCTTAAAATAAGCCAAGCAAACTATACTACACTTAAACAGTCTGTGCCCCTTTTCTGGACTCTCACCCACAGTTTGCGAACCTCTCCTTTAATCCTGCTTCCACTGGCACTTTTCAGAAAACAACTTCAAAGTGAAGAAAGTGAGTTTTTTCAAGTTTATAACATTTACAGTGGCATTCTCTGGTTTTGCGGTGATATTTAACAGTCTGTGCACTACCGGCCAGAATGAAATATGATCGTACTCGTCGAGTGTCCGACCAAGTGACCAAGTGTCCGAGACAAGACCGAAACCAAGCGCCATCAAGACCGAGACAAGACCGAGACCAAGTGTCATCAAGACCGAGACAAGATCGAGACCAAGTGTCCAAGACAACACCAAGACTAAGCGAAATCAAGACCGAGACAAGACCGTGTCTAAGCACCATCAAGGCAGAGAAAAGACCGAGACCAAGCACCATCAAGACCAAGACAGGACTGAGACCAAGCGCCATCAAAACCGAGACAAGACCGAGTCCAAATGCGCTTGAGTCTGAGACGAGACCAAGACCAGAAAAAAGTGGTCTCAAGGCCGCTCTCAAGTGCTACAATACCATCTCTTACACATAAAATAACGCTTGTATTGATCACAGGGTCCTGAAAATGTGTTCTTTAAATCCATTTTCTATTTTTTCTTTTTTATTATTATTATTTTTATTATTATTTGTTAATGTGTGTAGGGTGTGTGTCACCATGGTAGCTGCTGAACATTCTACACATAGACATGTAGAACACCCCCAGCGTGACTGACTGCCACTGCAAAGTGTAAATTTTTTAAATTCTAGATGATATAATTTTAAATAAATATCTCCAAAACAAAATTGAGAGAATATCCATTTTGCGAATATCTCTTCCACCCCTACATCCCACTGTAAAAACTCTTTTTACAGTGTTTTCATTTTCTTTATCCACAACAAAGATACTTTTGCAGTTGTGGATTTCATATTCTAGTTTTAACATCAAATTATTCAAAATTGACCAAGTTCTGAAACTCTTAAAGTTCCTTTCTTCACCATCTTCACCCAAAGATCTGCTGACTTGGCTCAGTCTGGTGGTTATGGTCCGGACACACCTTCTGGACCAGTCTGTAGTCCGTTCCAGTGAAAGCGATGAAGATACAAATGACCTTAAACGGTTTCGCACAGATCCACGCCGCTTGCGATTGCGTATTTTCTGAGTAACAAGTCTGCCCAGGATCGTAGAGACACGGTTTCGTTTTCTTGGACCTGTTCGTTCTTTGATACTCGATTCGACAATTCAACTCCGTAACCATCATCACGTCTTTCTGTTCCATCGGAGGCATGCTCGTGGATTGAGGAGCGCTTGCAACTGTTGAAAGTACATCAGGAATCAAAACCGAATTCTTGGTTTGAGATTCATTTAGAACCTCCCAACCTACAGCTTTAGATGGCGGGACTATGCTTACGGAAATGTTGCCCAGTCGCGAGGAGTTGTGTCTGAAGTACACGCTAAAAGTCCCGTTGATGTGATCCACGATTTTTCCCGTCACCAAAAGACTGAATTTGAGAGTTTTGACGTTGAAGTAAAAATCGCCCCATCCTAGAATCTTCTTGGCCTTCTGCGAGGTCTTTGCTGGAGGTTTGGACTTCGGCAGGAAAGGAGGAGGTGGTGGAGGGTGGCGGTAAAGGTACTGGTCCTGAGCCTGGGAGAAGTTCTGGGGCCAGCCGTAGGGGTAAGCAGGGGTCTTCTGCTTGGTGGAGATGATCTGGAAGTCTTTGGAGATGTGCTTGGCTTTGACAGAGGAGCTGCTGTCGTCCCTCCACGGTGGACTCTGGACCATCACAGGTTTGGAGACTTCAGGGACCTGTGAGAAGAATAAGAATAAGACAAATGTTACAAGAAATTAATACAAATAATTGGGCTACACATCAAAATAACTGTACAATAATTAACCTTAATGAAGTATGAAGAAAGCCTCATCTCTTCTTCATTGCCACCACTAGTGTATCTCTAGCTGTCATGATTCAAAAACTAAAATTAGTTTAACATTTTTTTCCCATGAAGTCTTTTTCTTCTTTTTAATACAAATACCATTTGGAAAGCAAGGCAAGTTTTCGTACACAAAGTAATTCAAAGTGCTTTACAGAATAAGAAAGACATTAAAACGACAATATAAACAAACATAAATTAAATTTAAAAAGAGAGAGACAATAAATGAGAGAGAATGCAGAACAAAAACCTTTCAATCATACGCAGGTAAACGGAACCACAGAACCGTTTTGAGTCTGGATTTAAACAGTCAACGTAGAGGCCTGTCTCACATCTTCAGGAAATCTAAAAGGTTTTAGCTGCATGAAACTGAAACAATCCCCGTGTTTAGTCCTGAGTCTGGGCAACAGCAGGAGGCAGGGCCCAGAGTTCCTTAGAGTGTGAGATGGTTCACACTGGAAAAAAAAAAAACAATACCTAGGTAAGTTAAAATTACCTAAATTAACATTTTACTTTATTAGAGTCGTAATAAAGTAAAATAATTAGGGCTGGGCAAAAAAAAAAAAAAAAAGTTAATCGCGATTAATCACATGAGTTTGAGTGATCGCGATTAATCGCATGTTATACGCAAAATCAATTAATGAATTAAAAAGTAGAGTATAGCGCACTTTTATTGGAAATGTAAATGAAATTTGAAACAAATGAACATTTGTTGTGCAAACAGCATTTCTTTCACAGGGGAACCATCAGAGCCTTCAAGGTCTTCATTGAAGGCTCAAGAAAAAATATTGAATGTACTTTTGTACAACTAATATATTTACTGAATATTTTTTATGCTGTGAGTAATGAACACTACACTAGTAATAATTTCTAGATCATTGTTATAAACTTGGACTGATATTTCTTGGGAAACAAAGGGTTAATATAATGGACTGGAAATGGACCAATCACATTTTTTCTTCCAATAGTATCTGGGTAAATCAGTGACTCCAACACTGAACTAAAGAAACAAGCTCAGCTCAGCGCGCATGGCTGGTCCGGCCAGAGTCGGACTCACGTAGCAAGATGTATTTCATATTTTAAGTACAAAAAGTCTTGTTACACTGGCAGATCAGTTTACTTGTCAAGTGATATTTACACAAATCGTGATAAAATTTTCTTAATTCAAGTCATCTTAACTTGACTAGATTTTGTTTTTTGCAATGTATATGGCACTAACATGTCACAAATGGACTTTGGTATTTGAAGAGATTTGTACACAAGCAGAGCCGCTTTAAAGTTTATTCTCTGAGCAACAGTGGCAGTGCAGAGACATGAGCACAGGACGCATGTGTTCGTACTTCCTGGTTAGAGTCAGGACCCGAGCTGGACCATACTGTACCATACCGTATTAATGCCAAATCTGGTTGAGTACTATCTTACAAGGTTCTTTTTTCAGACCAAGTGTTTGTTTTCATACCTGAGGGTTCTGACTGCTCAAGACTAGCGGTCTTCCTCAGAGTCATGTGATGTTGCTGTCACGTGTCCGCACAGCTGATTTAAACAGATTTTGGTGCTGTCTTCATGATGACAGCAGCATCTGCAGTCCGACTTCCTCAGGACAGTATCCCAAGTGTGTGCAAGTAAAATCACACTAAAATCTGTTTAAATTAGCTGACCGGACACGTGACAGCAACATCACGTGACTCTGAGGAAGACCGGTAGGGAGCAGTCGAAACTGTCAGGTATGAAAACAAACTCTTGTTCTGAAAAAATAACCTAATAACAAAAATTATCGATAGACTAAATGAACCTCATTGGACTGGTTGAGTACTATTTCTACATTGCGTGGCATTAGAGCCCTGCACACCCGTTGGCCTCCCATGGGACCCGCGGGACCCAACGCAAAACAGTGCAGCACGGGACACGTTTTTAAATCTCATTGCGCGAGTGGGGGGTTGGGATGATAAACTGCAGTACTGCAAACTTAATATGAGCGTAAAGTAAAATATACAAATGATCAGTGTTTGCCTATCATACAGAATTTGTGCTGGATATTTTATTTGGCATTAATAAAAACATATTAAGCAGTCTAAACTTGCGGAGATGGTCTAATCTCGTGCATATTTTAGACGATTCCTTTCCGATTCTCCATGTTTGATAGAGCTTAAGAAACCGAACGTCTTTGTGGGTGCGGACGGACAGAGTTTAGTCCTTCGCTCATTGATTCCACAGAAATACACCATGTTTTTCAGCATTCTGTGATATTTTTTTTCCTTCTTTTTTCCTTGTAAGCAGCCGTATTTGTTTTAATACAGACGGTGGCAGGTAATTCACTTGTCAATCATGCCCATCTGAACTCTGGTAGGTTCTTTGTAAAGTCCTGAAGAAGTGTGTTTTCTGAATCCCAGGCGAACATTTCCAGGTATCTTGAAATGTTTCAGGTTAGGCTTAGGTAAAACTTTGATGGCATGAGAAGCACAGGTTTTACAAACATTTTAAGAACAAAATCACGAGGCTGCAGAGATGTGACAATTTTTCAATGTAACATCAACTGGAGCCAGAGTCGATAGAGCTGGAAGCGCCCCCAAGTTCACTTCCTATTCCTATCCTGAATACATTCTACGGCTGTAACTATTCTGTAATAAAGATTTTTTCTCTAGAACTGCTCAACTTAGAACTCAAATCTCACACTTCTTCCAAACATCAGAACCACATTTCACATAAAAGCCGTCTCCTCGCACTGTATTGATTAGTGATGTCTTCAATCAAGGTCGAGAAGTGTCCATTACTGCGGTGGACACTTTGCGGAGAGACAAATTAAAATGTGAGCGTGCGTTTCACAGTCCTTGCCTTGAGCTGTGACCTGTTTATTGATTCCATTGTCATTCCCTGAACCAGACATCAGATTATAATTATTTGAATCGATTAAGTATAACCTTGTAAGAGAAGCTACAGTGGGACAGTCCTTCATTCATGCAGAGGGCTTTATGTCTTCTGTGAGCCCAAACTAACTTCCTGACTGAAAATAAACCGACTACTTACAAACTAGATTCAAAATTTATGCATTATCAATGACCACTGTTCGGCAAGTTACTTCAAAACTGTAATGTGTTTTTTATGACTTGTTTCTGTCATTTCAAAGTGATTCGTTACATTAAAGTATTACTGCATTTAAAATGTAAGACTATTGCATTACTTTTAAGTTACTCTCACCAAAATAACAATCAGAGAGCAAAGATGCCAAACTTTTGCACCATATATGGACTAAACCAGGGTCTAAACCTGGTCTAAACCAGGACTAAACCAGGAATAAACCAGGACTAAACCAAGGTCTAAACCAGGTATAAACCAGGAATAAACCAGGTCTAAAACAGGTATAAACCAGGTCTAAACCAAGGTATAAACCAGGACTAAACAGCACATCTTTATCAGAAAGGGTCAAATGGGATAAAAAGTTGTGTATATGTTTTATGAATTATTTTCAAAAACACACAGAGTCTGAGCAGTTTGTGTCCATTGTCCTTCTAAGATGATTCTTTAGCGAATAACAGCGATGTAGAACTTTGTATCAGATTTCCCTTTACTTTTTGGTGATGAGATATTCGTGATCATTTGTGGTCATGTTCGTACATTTTTCCATGGAATATTGTCAGTAGAGCTGCTCACAGCGCACAAGTAGGGCTCCGTTTGGGAGGAGCACTTGTGCTGATAGTCGCTCTTTTTCCGCGGTGACTCATAAGACAAGTGTAATTGAAGAAGTTCCTTTTGAAAAGTTTTTCAAAGTTTGGTGCAGCGTCTTCACTCAAGACAACATCTTCAGGTGCCCTGTCCTGCCGCTTCCCCAGTTTATGCTCCTGGCTCCAATAATGGCATCACTCTGTTGCAGCCAATGAAACAGCGGCAGGTGTAACCCTGTCGTCATATCACTGAATACATCTCAGAACGTCTAATAAACAAAATGTGTTAAATTAATAGTGTTAAGTTTGGAAAAATATTAGAATGAATTTATATTTTTGTCTATTAAAATAAAATGGCAAATATTGGTAGGGACAATTTTGTCTTTCCCAAATATTGGTTGTGACAAGTCCGCAAAAGAGCTGCTCCTGTGATGCTGCCTCTGAGTATTCTCATGTTTAAACACTAAACTTTTTTCATTGCTTATGTATTCATAGTTGATTGGAGGAATTATGTTTTAAATCACAATAAAAAAAGTTGAGAACAAGAGAGACGATGTTTTGCTGCGATAACGAGCCGTATCTGTCGTGCTGCATTAATGAAGCTCCTCACCATTTCACTTTGGCTGTTCTTGTAAAGTTGCTGTCTGATGTCGTGAAGTGTTTTATATTTATCCTCCACAGCCGTAAACCCTCCGTAGTCTATCATGAGTCATTCATCGAGCTCCTGATGTACGTACGGTGTTTACGTGACTGTACTGTAGTGGTTTTAGAAAATGTATTTTGAAAGGACATTGGAAGTTTATTTTGACACCACATGCTTATTTCTGATCTTGTCCCTCCCAAAAGTCTGGCGGCACTCCGTTGATGCTGCAAAATTATAACTCCAACCTAATTTGAGCGGCGTGTAGCGTCATAACCGCCATCCTACTAATGAAACTACTGCACATTGCATCAGGTTTGTGAAGTTGTAGAGTACTGCTATCTGTAAGGAGGGTTCGAATAGTCCTCGGGAGAGTTTGCAAGAGTATAAAACCTCTCCAAGCATGTTTTTGATGAGAGAACTACATTATAACAAAGTAGAAAGCTCTAAAATAAATCAGTATTTATGGAAAACAAGTAAAAAAGTTGAGATACAAAAAGGACTGTTGCTGTGGACATTAACTATGCTGCTAATTGTTTTTTTTGTTTTTTTTTCAAAAGGCTTCACTCCATAATT